TTTCTCTTTTCGTCGTTCGTAACATGCCTTATTATATGCTTTTCTTTTTTCTGCAACAATTTTTTTATATGAAAATATGTAACGATGAAATACTAATAACGATTGTACGTACGAAGCATACCTTTTGTATTTTCTGTATCAACTTGAATAACATTATTATGTTTATTTTCTTTACCATCAAACCTCATTGCAAACTGTAAAACCGACAACAAAAAATAATAAATACTTTATTTTTTCATGACAAATTCTATAAAGACTATTATTTATATATGAAATTTATTACTATATTAATTGAGCATAAATAGAATATATGATATTGTACATTTATTATTAAATCTATAATTGGAAAGATAAAATGTAAAATGATTGAATTTGATATTCTGTTAATGACAACAACAACTGAACACATTAGAACAACATATTTATATTCGACACACAAATAGTATAAATGAAACTCCTTAAATAGATAGTATTGACTTCATTTTGTTTTAAAAAAGGAAAAATTATATTGAATCGTAGGTAAACTGAATGTACTTTGCTAGTTATTGCAAGACATAGCCATGTACTTTGAGTTTTGAATAAAAATAAAAATAAATTGCAAAAATCATAAACAAACAAGTGTCAGTTAAAAAACAAACATTGGTAGTTATTGCATTATCCAGCCAAATGGAAAGCACATTGTGTAATTGATTATTTTAGTTTTTTGGGAATTAAATGTTATTGTTACAATGATAATTGGAATTAGTATCAACCTTATTATTATGTTTATTTCCTTCTCATCAAACATCATCGCAAACTCTTCTAATGACAATATAATAATAAGTACATATACTTTTATAACAACTTTTGGTAAAAATTGTCAAACAAAGAAAGTAAAATTTATAATCTTAAAACGCACCAAAAATCCATATCACAAAATCCGCAAACAAATAAATACCAAAAAAACTATAAAAACAAATAAAAACCTTAAATCCCGCAAACAAATAACTACCACATACGACACACACAAATAACTATGGAAAAATTAAATATTTTCCCTATCTCTCATTCGAATCCTATCAGCTTCCGGCATTCTTGGATCTAACGTGACATCGGTTAATGCAGTTGAAACCAAAATATTATCTGTATGGACATGTATTATACAGTTAATAAGATATACTGAAATAATTTATTTATAAATAATTGAAACTATATATAATGTTGCACATAGTTAACTTACAAATATTTTCGTGGACCAACTTGACCCTAGAGACATAAATTATGGATTGATTGACAATTGCAAGATACATTTGTATCATAAGGCTCATCGGTACGTGATTGAACATCAACTTTATTGTATGCCCCATATTCATTCAAACTAAATTTTGTTAAAAACATAATAATAATAATAATAATAATAATAATAATAATAATTGGTTAATGCATTTAAAGAAAATACATTATATTAGCATACTATTAATATTTTTATATATCTATATCTATATATAATCTTACATCTTATTTTGGATAAATAGTTCAAATGCATAGAATGGCCTCATTCGTCTTCTCCATACGATTTTTCCAACGACATCTACAATGCACCAAATTTAGTATTATTTAATTTGTCGTATGAAATATATAAAAAAAACAATATATATATATATATATATATATATATATATATATATATATATATATATAATCAAATATAGAAATGTACCTATCAACATTCTTCGACGGCTAAAATCTCTTGTGAGACTTGTGATAGAAGAACACAACGGATAAATTGGAAATGAATTGGCGATATCATTTCCCAAGAGAGTAAAAATGGTGTTACTCTTTATCAATATACCCCACTCGCCAAAGAAAATTTTATAATGTTGATATCTTGGGTGGTCTTTGTAAAAATGATCCATTCGGAAATGATTTAAGGAGATAACGCGTCCAACCAAATTCATGTTCAAAATTGACCTCAAAACCCGTGGGACAATTGCGATCATTTTGTCTCTCTGAGATATGTAATACAATAACAATATGTGAATTATAAATAGAACATTAAACAAATAATGTCATATTCATTTTATTGTATTAATACTTACGTTGCGATCAAGCAGCCAAATAAGAAGTCTATCATGTTCAACGTCGTCCCACACAAACAAAACTCGAACAACTAATATGTTCCACCATACGTGAACGTGTCGTAATGCAGAAAAATCTCGAACAGTGGTATGACTATCTATTACTAAAATTTTCATTTCAGTATGAAATACAAATATGTATTGTTTTGTATAATTTGTTTTAACCATATAAACATTTTTATAAATTATTCTTTTTATGTAATAATAAAAAAAAATGATTTTTATTTAAAAGCCTAAATTTTTTTTATGTTTATGTGAAATATTTTAAATATTCACATTACATTATTATATTTAATTTAATGTAAGAATAAAAAAAAACTTCATATAATACGTATCAAAACTGTTTTTCCCTTAATATATATTTTAATTATTGTTTCTATACATACGTTAATTTGTGAAGGCGTGAATATTTACCATTCATTATTATTTTTTTTATAATAATATAGGGTAATGTTCTTCTACCAAACCCTAAAGCCGACATAACCCTAAATTGTTTTTTCAATTCTTACAGCCGACATAACCCTAAATTGTCTTTTCAATTCTTATAGCCGACATTCAGAAAGGGGAATACGAAATGAATCGATTCATGAATTAAACACAACCATTTGAGTCGACGAAACTCTTCGTCTCTCTCTTGCCTCGTTTGTATAAATCAGTAATGCCATAAGACCGTATTTTCTCTATTACTCTCGTTATGCCCTAAATTCATATCTGCAGATCTAGTTATGCTTTCTACAAATTGAGAGATGCATTCATCGATTACATCTCGATTACTCTCGACTGAGGGTTTTATGGCTTTAAGTGTCGGCTTTAATTCGTGATTACGAGCGAGATGTCGAGGGATCAGAAGAGGATCATTGGTCGGATAGTTACATGGAGATACAACAAAGGTAACTAAATTTATGAAGTTGTTTAAATGTAAATTTATTGTTCTTTAGCTTTGTGGATTTTATGGTGATTTTGTTTTTATAAATTAAGGTTGGAATTGGAGTATGGATTATTCTATTATATAAAATCATGTTACCAATCATAATACATACATATATATTATGTACATTATGTTTAATATTTCTATTATATATGATTTTTTTCAGGGAGAATCATTAACTTTGTAAGGGTAGAAACTAACTGCAACAAAGCTACGTTTACAAGTAAGTGTTATTTTCATGGTTTCAAAAAGTAAATCCTAAATTTCTTAGTCAATCAGATATGCTTAATTAACTAATAGTATAATAACAATAATATTGCTTAATCTTTGTGTAACTACTACTTAAACTCAATAGCAATTACAAGCAATTATGCAGTTCTTCGTTGCTAATACATATTACTTTAGTAACATATAATCTAATGGAAAAAAAACATACATTTTTTTAATGCCTGTAGAATAGATCGTTGTTAAGAAGCCCTGTTGTTTATGCATGTGGAACGAAAAACACAGTTAATGAATATTGTGTATACATGAGTAAGTAAAAAATACAGTTTAAGAATATGGAAGACATACGTATGTGCAGACTGTGGAAATGGTGAGGGTGTTCTCTCTTTATCTGAATTACGAAATTTGTTTGTCAATGACAGACTATAATGCATCTACGATATGGATAGTATAAATATACAATCTAATATAATCTGTTAAAAGTTTGTTATGAATAGATAAGATGCAATTCATATATATGTGCATGAATATTCAAACATTGTTTTGAAAATTCATCATCTATTTGGATATACATAATCCTTTTATCTAATAAATAATCAAAATTTCCGTATTAATTTAACAAAAAAATCAATTTTCGTTTTTTTGCTGTTTAACATTGAAATGCATGGTGCTTTCTGAAATAACAATATTGTTTGGTAACAAAAGCTACTTGTAATTAACCTGAAAATATGTTATTTTCATTTTCTAATGACCTACTTACTGTTACACCAACGTCATTTATCTACAACTCAATATGAGTAGAACATCTTATCAATATAACCATTTTAGATATAACAGATGAATTTGACCACTAAATTCTTTTTTGTAAACGCCATTAAAGACAACTCTCTATTGTAGTAATGATTTAATTTGTGTAATATAGCATGGAAATAATATCATACTTTCATTTTTTTCTGTATATAATTTACTTTTAGAAATCACAGAATCCTACTGTCATTTTTTTCTATTACCAAATTCTACTTTCAGTGTTTTATGCAATTAGGCGTCGTCCTTTAAAAAATGTTAATATGTTATATAAAAAATAAAAGTTTGATTCTATAATAAGCTATCATATATCACAACATCCTACTCTAATTTCATCTTGAATAAATATGTTTCCAAACATAGCTGATTATAAGAATTTGAATGTACTTGGCTAGTTATTGCTATAATTAGCAATGTACTTCGGGTTTTAGATAAAAATAAAAAATAATTGCAAAAAACAGATAGAAACAAGTGTCAAATAATACATTGCTAGTTATTGCGTTGTCTTACATTTATTGGATTGTCCTCCCAAATGGTTAGTACAATGTTATTTTGCATCCCTTTATTATGATATCCTAATCATTTTTTTATTGCAGGTGGTACTTGCCAACAAATATGATTACCCATAAATAGTTTTGTCGAGTATTAAGAGGAGATACTTCTTTTATTTGACCAACAAATAACACAAATAAAGATCCATAAATAAAAAGTATAGTTGTTAATTTTGGTTTAAAATAAATTCCAAACAGTTTGTTATTTAATATTTTTTTTAAATAGTAAATGTCATTAAAAAAAGAACCTGCTCCATAACCATTAGAATTCTGAAAAATCAATAAAAAAACAACCTAAAACTTAAACAAAAACAATCCTAAGAAAGAAGACCCTAAAATGCGACACTAAGAAGAAAACTCTAATAAATAAAATACTTAGGTGTCCATGACTACATCATCTTCACCCATAACAACATGATTTTCACTATCTTCCTCGTCATGAAGCTGATGAAATCTGTTTCGTTTATGAATTGTGACACGGGGCCTCTTGGTTGGTCGGGTTGATGTTGTTAATGCTGTTGAATCTGCTGTATCAGTTGTTTCCACAGCTTTAACATCCAACTCTTGATCTTCAGAACTTAAAAGATCAACAACCTCATTCCATTTCCAGGTTTCCAACGCTCTCTGTCTTTTCTTTTGTTTTTCGACCTTAAATTGTTGAAGCTTTTCTTGAACAGTTTCTTGTTGTTGCTTCTTGTTATCATTGCTAAAGCTCTGCATTATGGCTGATTGTGTATGATAAAATTAGTCTTAATTACAACAAAACAAATGAAAAAGAAAACAAATATACGAGAACATACCTTCTTGAAAGCTTGACATTTCTCGTCACAATCTACTTTACAGTAGCGTACTCGGCTATTTATTGTAGTAGAATTAGTACCCATGTGTCAATATTTTCCCGCTCAAACTAAATTCTATCCAAAATATAAGGAACCAACATATATAATCATTTAAAATCGGTATTATCTTTACAGCCATCAATATTTAAAAAAAAGATTAATTGGAAAGATAAAATTTAAAAGGGTTAAATTAAAATTAATAATGTTATTTAAGTCATTATTAAATAGAAAATCTTCCAGGCTGTCAATAATTTCCCGGTAAAAAAATTCTTTTCTGAGAAAAAATAAGTATTTAACTTATTGAGTAAATTACACGAATGGCCCCTGTGGTTTGGGGTAATTTGCACGTTTGGTCCCTAATTTATTTTTTAACTTAAAGGTCCCTACAGTTTGTTTTTATTGCGTGCTTGGTTCCTGTCTCACCTAAAAAGACTATTTTGCCATTAATTTTTTAATTTATTTAAATAAGATGTGGTAGACATAAAATAAAAAATCAAGGGCAAAATAGTATTTTTAGGTGAGACAGGGACCAAGCACGCAACAAAAACAAACAATTGGGACTTTTCGAGTTAAAAAAATAACTTAGGGACCAAATATGCAAATTACCCCAAACAATAGGGACCATTCGTGTAATTTACTCTAACTTATTTGATATTTTAATAACAGAAATGACTCTACAAGTATCAATATGTTAAAAACATAATCTATAATTAGAAAGATAAAATGTAAAATGGTTGAATTCTATATTTTGTTAATCACAACAACAACTGAACACATTAAAGCAGCATATTGAAATTCATTTTGGTTTTAAAAAGGAAAAATTATATTGAATTGTAGGCAAATTGAATGTACTTTGGTAGTTATTGCAAAACATAGCCATGTACTTTGAGTTTTGGGTAAAAATAAAAATAAATTACAAAAATCAGAAACAAATAAGTGTCAGGTAAAAAACAAACATTAGTAGCTATTCATATTTTTATTGCTGGAGGTATTTGACAACAGAAGTGATTACTTAATTGTAATCACCTGGATATGAAGGAAGGAGATCAGATTTGTTGAGGATTATAAGGAGGTACTGCTTTTATTTGACCAAGACATAGCACAAATGAAGTCCCACAAATATATAGTATAGTAGTTCATTTTGGTTATCAATCAATACAAGATTGATATTTAGGGAAATTGAATGTACATAGACAGTTGGGTTGACTTTGTCTTTTGGATAAAAAAATTGCAAAAAACAGAAACAAACAAGTGTCAATGTTAGTAGTAATATATTTTAGTAGCTAATCATTTTTCAATTGCAGGTGATATTTACCAAAAGATAAGAGTACTCAACTGTTATGACCCGGATATGAGAGAAGGAGATCTGATTTGATGAGGATTACAAGGAGGTACTACTCTTTATGCTATATACAACTGCATAATTTTATAATCAAAAATATTACTTTTCTGGACAAATCGATCTTTATCAGCTTAACCATCTTTTGGGCACCTTTTGGATCAAGATTAAAAAATCACTCATAGATTTTTACAAACCAAACATCCCATAAACCAGAAAATGTCAATCTTATTTTAAACAATCTACTGAAATACTAAAACATAAAAAATCCCTTCTCTTAAGTGTCTTTAACTGCATCATTCTCAACCCTGAATTTGCTGATTTTTTGGTTTCTCTTAATTGGTGGTGATAATGTTGTTGGTGTTGTTGAATCAACTATATCAGCTGTTTCTGTAGCTTCATCATCCAATGGTTGATCTTTGGAACTCAAAACATCAATAACTTCATCCCATTTCCAGTTTTCTAATGCTCTCTTTCTTTTCCTCTGTCTCTCCATAATCCATTGATTCAACATGAATTGAACACATTCCACTTGTTCGTGAACCTCATCATCGGTTTAAAACATTCATTCTAGCTGATTTGTATATTAATATTAGAATCAACAGTTATACAACATATATAAAATGAAATGAAAGAAAAATTATTAAGTAATACATTGGTAACTGCTGGATTTTGGTATAAAAATTCTCTTTCTACCTCTTATTTTATCTTCTTTATTAGGATCAAACAAATCATTATCAGTGTTTGAAGTACAGTGCTTAATAAAGATAGAATCAACAGTTATACAACATATATAAAATGAAATGAAATAAAAATTATTAAATAATACATTGATGACTGCTGGATTTTGGTATAAAAATTCTCTTTCTACCCCTTATATTATCTTCTTTATTAGGATCAAACAAATCACTATCAGTGTTTGAAGTACAGTGCTTAATAAAGATAGAAGTACAATGCAATAATCAGGTAGATTTTTGAAGTATAATTCATGTGTTTGCAGCCATGGTGGAATCCCCATCTTTTATTAAAACCCATTTATAGATCTAAGCCTGAAAAAACAATTTTTTATAATAATTTCAAGTAATTGAGTTTAAGTTGTTATGAATGTACCCGTAGATATGATGAACTATGTAAGCTTTTAGTACCAGCCCTAGTAATGTTTTGATCTGCAGGTAAAAGACTTTTTAGGAAATAAAATCAATGTTTGATCGTCATTTTAATATAGATTTTGATTTTTTTCTGAAAAGATGATTGTAATGATTGTATATGTACCATATGATTATGCAATCTTGAAGGTTGTTGGCAACTGTTGGTGATGATCGGTATTGTCCAGAGAAGAAAGTTGTATCTGTTTGATCTGCTTGTAAAAGTCGTGGGCAGGAACTGTAAAAGTCGTGGGCAGGTTCTTGGTGTTGATGATTGATTTTTTCCACAGAAGAAAGGAAGAAAGCATAGATAACGCCAAGAGGAAACTTGAGCCTTTTTTGCTCTTTTTCACAGTGTACAATTTATAATGCATGATTTGCTCACCCGAAGTAGTTCAGCGGTACCGCTTTGTTTTTGGATGTTGCAGAATGAGTTATTCTCAGGATTTAGAGGAATTTTTAATCGCGAGTGAGCTGTCCTCCCCCTAGGCATGTTATTAGCTGCAACACCCGATGAAGCTGTAGCGAGTGCAATATGACCAAGTTTGCGGATATTAGCAAGTAAAGCTTTGTATAGATATGTTTTCCCCGTTCCACCAGGACCATCTATGAAGAACACTCCTGGACAATCAGTGCACACATGCTTCATGATCTCGTCATACGCATATTTTTGTTCAGGATTCAGAAAATCTTGCGCATGCAAATGGTCAGGCTCCACAACAATAGAGCACTCTTCTTGTACCTCGCGAAAATCTCCCGATTGTAAATTCAAGTCTGTATTTATAGCGGGAAGATCAAAATTTTCAAGCCTGTTACTCATAGATTGTAGGAATATGTTGATATCTGTGAGGACCATATTCTGCACTCGTTCAACATTGTCGTATTGTCGCCTATAATCTTCTGAGAGAGCATTGTAGTGGGAATTCCACAACTTTCGAACATCTCCAGGATCACAAAAAACCAATATCGTTGCAAACAACCTTCTGAGAGAACTGGGAAATTGAAACAGGGATGCCTCTGCAAGACATTCTGATAAACTATCATCGGTTTCTATTAACCCTCTTTCAAGAGCCGCTTTTCGAAATGTGGGATGTCTTACGTCATTGACTGTGTATAGATCTTCAAAACATGTAGGGCCCCTAATATGACATAATAACACACGTAAGTAGTATCGCTCCCCTTCAGCAGGATTAGCAGAAACCAAACGACCTACCGCTGGTGCTTGTTTTCGAGGATTCCATAGACGTGATTGGGTACTCCACGTGAAGTGTTTGGGAAAATCATTGTATAAGTACTTTCTTGCGCACAAGTTCTCTTTATTCATCTTGAAAAATGCGGTCAACATTGATCTCTTATCTTTCTCCTTCTCAACAATGGATGTCATTGTATCAGCATCACTAAATCGAACCAGTTGTTGGTTCGGTAGATGCAGTTGCAAAGTGATCACATTAGGGTGGATTTGAGAAAGAGCAAAACTAAAAATTCGCCATGTTGCTTCCGGAGCAGAGACATAACGTGCATCTTGAAAACGTTTTATCTCATTGATAAGAACAGGCTGTGCATCTGGATCAATATGGATAACCTGTTTGTCATGACCCTTGTAAATATACTTAAAGACATATTTGACGGATGTTATACTCGAGCAAACCTCTACATTTAGATGGCAGTTGAACATTATCAACAACTTTGGGTTATATGGAACAACCCATCTATTATCCATCATAATACCTTGTTTTTTCACCGCAATTCCAGTATCTCTCCTTTGATAAACAGGATATGCATCCTTTCCTTGCGTCGTAGTTTCATTGAATAGTCGAGGGTATCTAAAACGACATGTTGGTGGATCACCTTGCATGCAGGAACATTTTTCGTTTAACGTACCGCAAGGACCATGGATCATGTGTGATTTGACCAGATCGTGTAGTATCAGATACTTTGTCGGGTTTGGAATTTCAGCGCACACATACTTGTCATAATGGTCTGTATTGGTGAGCTTCCATTCAGGTGTCATTATCAAGAGAAAATGGGCATGTGGCAAACCACGTTTTTGGAACTCTATTACATAAACATAGGCGCCAACCTCGCCAAGGACGTGCCTCTTGAAGAGTTGTTCCTTAAGATCAAGTAACTTAGCACGAAAAACTCATGAAACCAGATCCGGTCTATCTTGAGCCGTCTGCGAATGAAGTAACTCATTTTGGATTTCAGGCCAATTTGGATTGCACGTTATTGTAAGGAATATATCAGGTTTCCCGCCATTTTGAACTAAAGCCATAGCATCAAGAAACCGTCCTCGCATGTCACGAGGGCCTCCAATGAAACTTGCAGGCAAAACAACACGTCGCCCAACCATACTTGGTTGATCCTCCCCGTCATTGATACAATCCACAACACCTTGGTATAACTCCGCTCTTATTTTGGATTGGTTTTTTCTACAAAATTCCAAACCCGAAGTCTCAATCTTGATGTAGATATCTACCACAAATTGTTGGAATAATCTTCCTCCTAACATAATTAAGTTCAAGT